GTGTTAGGTCATGAGAGTGACACCTTCAGAAGGAATTCATGCTGCTGTCCCAGAGTCGACTCTCTCAAGAACATGTTGTTATCAAGCAAAGCCACCCGACATTGACCTATTCTGCACACGATTGGTTTTCTTTCAATTTCTCTGCCTTGTTGTGATCCAGCCAAGGGATCCCTCACCAGAGGCCTAACAGATGATACCACACAATCTTGGACTTTCAGCCTCCAAAACTATGAGCTAAATAAACCTCTTTTCTTTATAAAGTATCCAGTTTCAAGTATTTTGTTATTGCAACAAAAAATGGACTAATATGCCCCTGAAATACCCTCCAAAAATCTAATGTGAAAATGAAATTGCTCAAAGATTGCCTAAATCCAGGAACTCCCTTGGGGACAAGGGATATCCAATATTTATTTGACTTCAAAATATTTACTCTTTCTATCTCTATTGTAGAAGTGAAAGAATAAATGTATTAATTGATTAAAAATTTAAAAATAAAATTAAGTATTTACCGGAACTTTTGATATGCCTTGAGATGATTAGAGAAGGCAGTCTAAAAGCATCCTGGCCTTCATATTGAAGAAGTAGGGAGAGTAGCTTTTTAAAAAATCAGATTACTTGACTGGATAATTTGATATATCTTCAGGGAACCAACACATATATTATGTGCTGACTGGTAAAGTATAGGGAGAAAAGCTTTTAAAATAGGAACTTTCTCCTAAAATACATTTATCCAGGAAGAGAAACTAGTACTTTTGGACATAAACCTAGCAAAAAGTTGGTAGAGACCTTAGACCTGGAATCGAAGGAGTAGGTCCACATCTGATTTCCTCACCCTGAGCTCTGGCAGAGCAGCTTGTGTATGGGGGTTACTCACTAAAGAACGTGAAGGGGAAATGGGGCTCAACGATGTCCAAGGACTTTGGACTTGACACCTGAGCACTGTAGGAGCGTGGGAAAAGGGAGTAAGGAAAAGAACTAAAGTTGACACTAATGCCACTGTACTTTCAAATTGAGTGATACATCCAGATTGAGTCCAAGTTCCCAGAACTGAAGTGACATTGAGTTAAGTCCTCAAAGCATCACCCACTAGCTATGTCCCTTGGATAAGTTACTTAATTTGTCAATTTATCTATCTATCTATCTATCTATCTATCTATCTATCTATTTATTTATATCTCAGAATTCCTATGAAGTCAGATATTAACAAACTTTTGCTATTAAAAAAAAGATAGTAAATATTTTAAGCTTTGCGGGCGATGTGATCTTCATCAATAGGATCTCTGTTGCAAATACTCAATTCAACCTTAGAATTGCAAAAGCAGCCATAGATAGCCAACATGTAAATGAAGACGCATGGCTATGTTTCAGTAAAACTTTTTTTATAAAGACAGGTGATGGGTCAGATTGGCCCACGGGCTCGAAGTAGCCCAAAATGGGCCAGAATGCCTAATTTTGCAGGATTGCTTCAGGTATTAGGCAGAATCTTACAGAACATTTGAATTTTAATAGAGATCAAGGAAATAAATCACTAATGAAGTGATTTTGGATATCTGGAGAAGTTAGTACCGAGAGGTCCAACACAGAAATTTGTCTTTTTTTCTTGTCATGAGTGACATCAGTGCAGGAGTAGTAGAAAATATTGTGGTAAGAGAGTAAGTTGTTAAATCAACAGAAACTCAATGCTTGATGGGTTTCTCAGGGCCAAGTAGGCACACAAGGCCTGCAGTAGTTTAAATTTCTTTTGAAAGAAAAAGAAAATGAACATAACAATAATAAATGTAATGAATACAGTTTGGATTATATTAATTTTTTAAAAATGTTAATCCATTTATTTAAATGCATATAGCACATAAGTTACAAATTCTCATTTCTACCACAAGTGAGAACTTTTCCAGATTGCCCCCATTTCTTCCTTGAGTGTTTTACAATAAATTCCAAGTTACATCCTGCAGTCTGAAGGTTAGAGCTGATCTAGATCTGTCTGTGGGTTTCCCTGCAAGGCACTGAGCGAGATCCAGGGAAGTCATGCATGTCTGTGAGAAGGGAGACAATCTTGTTCACAGTGGCCCCTCCATGTCACCCTGCTAGTCACAGCACAAGTATTGGTTCCTGCTGGATCGCTCCCCACCTCAGCTGCCACCAGAACTAAGCAAACAGTCCAAACACCCAAGGCTCTATTTATGTTCATACCAGCTCCATCAAAAATTATAATTAATATTTAGGAATATTCCTTATGGAGGAAGGGTCAACCAATGTAAAAATGTACAGGATCCAGGCAAGCCATAACCCTGGCAATCGATAGAGCTGTCAGCATTCTACAGTGTGGCTTTTTTTATTTTTTATTTTTTTCTCAGGGGCACTTAACCACTGAGCCACATCTCCAGCCCTTTTTTGTATTTTATTTAGTGACAGCATCTCATTGAGTTGCTTAGGGCCTCAATAAGTTGCTGAGGCTGGCTTTGAACTAGCATTCCTCCTTCCTCAGCCTCCCCAGCTGCTGAGATTATAAGTGTGTGCCACCAGCCCAGCCCAGGCTTTTGGTTGTTGTTATTCTAATTAGTTATACATGATATAACTATAGAATTCACTTTGATACATCATATACAAATGGAGTATAATTTCTTATTCTTCTGGCTGTACATGATGTAGAATCCCACCGGTCATATACATGTACACAGGATAATAATGTCTGATTCATTCTACTATCTTTCCTACCCCCCAACCCCCTTTCTTCCCTTCACTCCCCTCTACCTAATCTAAATTAACTCTCTTCTTCTCTAGCCACCCCCCTTATTGTGAATTAGCATCCACATATCAGAGAAAACATTCAGCCAAAATGGCTTATTAATATTGCCTTTGTTTCTTTTGGCTTTCCATGACTGAATTAATGAAATTCCTTTTAAAATTTTTAACCTGAACCCAACTAATTGTGGGGGGTCACACTGAGCGACCAGCATTTTCCTTCCCGTGATAGGTAAAGGTTCTGTCGGTCACTTTCATAGTGATCTGGCCACATTCATAGTGGCCCTAGACACTGCCTGATCCTCAAAGTGGCAGAATGTGTCTTCATGCATAGGCGTGCCTTCCTGCAGCCCCATGGATCGAGCTGCGCTCATCTGTTCCTTTGTGGTATCACCCCTTGCCCTGTTTGGGATAGAATGTTGCATGGAAAATACCCTTTGTGTGTCTCCTTCTCTTGCTCTGCCTTTGGGAGTGGGCTCCCTAGGTGTCAGTCAACCTGCTGACAGCAGACATCATGAAGCTAGATTCAACCCCTTGAAACCTGACCCCTTGTCTCATTTGAATGGCTTCTCCTCAATAAAAGGGTCAACAAGTGCTGGCTCTCACTCTCTTTCTGCAGATCCTTAAGGTCAGAGGAGCCATCATAGGACCCCCGAAGAAGAAGGTATCTCTGTCTCTTGTGTGGTTATTTCATGCAGCCCAGTTCCCCTGGAGTGACCCTGAGTGTTTTTGGCAACTAATCCCAATGACTACAGAGGCTGAGGCAAAAGGATGGCAAATTTAAGGCCAGGTTGGGCAATTTAGTGAGACCTGGACTCAAAATAAAAGTAAAATAAAAATACAAAGGACTGGGGATGTGGTTCAGTAGCAGAGCATCTCTAAGTTCAGTGCCCAGTATCAAAATAAATTTTAGAAATAAAATTAAAAAGTTTAACCTGGTAAATTATGTTAAGAGGCAGAAGAGAACATAACTTTGGGTTTTGTTCTTTTAAGGAGAAGACCTATAAGTATTTAATTTTAGATTGCTCATTTCTAGGAACCTTGTATAAGGTCTCTGCTATGTTGCTTTCTCGTCTATACAATATGTGCTTTAAAGTCTCCACCTGTGGAGCAAAGCACTTCACTTATCATGTATGTAGTTGTAAGGGGTTATCCATTGTGCCTCATGTTCCTGATTTGTAAGATGGGTTTATAAAAAAATTCTTTTAAGGGTTGTTTTAAGAGTAAATAAAATAGGAAAGACAGCAGAATGAATCAGACATAACTTTCCTATGCTCATGTATGAATGCACGACCAGTGTAACCCCACATCATGTTCAAACACAAGGATGGGATCCTAATTAGAATGGGTTGCACTCCATGTATGTACAATATGTCAAAGTACACCCTACTGTCATGTGTATCTAAAAACAACAAATAAAATGATAAATATGATCATACTAAGTGCTTTTAGACTGTTGGACATGATCTAAAGTCTCATTGCCCCAGTCATTCTTGATTTTTTCCCTTAAATTTTAATAGGTAGAAGATGAATGAGTCTTCATACCTCCTCACTGAAAACGTCTGCTTGGCTGCTCTAAAAGTTTCTTGAGCAGTCATTCTTAACTGTTTCTCACTTGGAGTCACATACTCATTAATAAAAATGATTCCTTATGGAAGAAGAGTCAACAAATGTAAAAATGTATAGGATCAAGGCACAGAGGCTGAGGCAGAAGGATGGCAAATTTGAGGCCAGGTTGGGCGACTTTTTGAAGTCATGTTCTCTGGGGTGAACCGAGACTTTGGTGAAACAAAAATTTCTTGTGGAAGTAACCCTCTAATGTAATTCCTAATAGTTTGAGATAAGCTATTTTTATCATTAGCTCTCACCATCCTGATCCATGATTGCAAACCACTGCCCATGTTCAGCAGGCTTACTTTATCAGCTTGCACTCAGCTCTCTCTCTGGGGCAATGTGGCAATACCAAAGGAAGGACAGCAACTTCTCCACTTGTCCACTCACAGGGACCTGCCCAGGGTGGCATTGGGCTTTACAACCGGAGGTATCTAGGAATGGATGGGTCATCTGCAGTCACCCTTTGCAGGCAGAGAGTTCTGATCTCAATTATTTCATGCGATTGAGATTCTGAAGTGCTTCCTGGGGGCTGCTTGCGTTAGATGAGAATTTTTCAGGATCTTCTCAGGACCCAAAGGGGATGGTGAGTAATTGGTGGCAAAGGCAGGGACTCAGACTTATTTTCTGATTTTCTGTGTCTGCAGCCTCTGGAGCCCTGAAGGAGAAGTTTGGTGTCCTTGGTGGATCTGTGACCTTTTCTGTGGAAACTTCAATACAGAATATTGACAGTATTGTCTGGATCTTCAATTCAACCACTCTTGCCATCATAAAGCCAGGTGTGGCAGACAAAAAAGCCACTATCCTTATGACCCGAAGTCATAACAAGGAAAGGATGATCTTCTCAGGCAGTAACTATTCTCTGACACTCCTCCAACTGAAGAAGAATGACTCAGGGATCTACCGTGTGGAGTTGAACTTCTTATCCTCTCAGTCATCCTTCACCCAGGAATATGGGCTACAAGTCTACGGTGAGCAGAATCAGTCCTAATAGTGGGTAGCTGCCATGGTGAGAGTGTGCACTCCCTGACAACAGCAAATGTTCCAGAAAAGGATGGATAAATGCTTGGAAAGAATATGGGAGAGAAGGACTGGGGTTGTGGCTCAGCGGTACAGTGCTCGCCCAGCGCATGCAAAGCCCTGGGTTCAATCCTCAGCACCACATAAAAATAAATAAGTAAAATAAAGGAAAAAAAAGAATATGGGAGAGAATTCATGGATGAAGCTGACCTCTTTACTCAAATATTTTGTAAGAGACTGTATGGTGTAGTACTTGGGCAACATGAGAAGTGGCAACCACACAGATCTAAGTCAAATGCTTGCTTCTCTATTTACTAGGTGCATGGGCTTATCCCAGTTATTTAATTTGTTAGAATCTTATTTTCCATATCTGGGAAGAAAGCAATATCTACTTTAGGAAGATTATTGGATATAAGTGTCAATCCCAGCCCTTCCACTAAAGATTCTAAGCATTTCTGAAAAAGACATAAGGGTCAAAAAGAAGATAAAGGCTAGGTATAATGGTGCATACCTGCAATTTCAGCTACTCATGAAGATGAGGCAGGAAGATTACCTAAACCCAGAAGTTAGGGGTCAGACTATACCACATAGAAAACCCTGTCTCAAAAAAAGATTGATAAAAAGAAGATAAAAATATCCACTCTGTTTCTGGTATAGCTCAGTAGGAGAAATATCTCCTTTCAAATCTAGACTTAGGAACCCACCACCCAGGGAAGTAGAATTTACAAAATAATTACTCAGTTACAAGAAGAGTACTTGCCTCACTCACCCAGCTTCAATAGCAGGGAGACCAGGAAATGGGCCTCCAAGACCATGCACCTCAATCTACATGTCTTCCATAGGGACATGGTCAAAGGAAACAGAAGATGTATATTCTACCGGCAAACTAGCTGTAGGTGGGAATAAAAGAGTACATACCTTCTTCAATTCCATGTCCCCAATCTTTAATGGCTCAAATCTGTAAGTAGAGAAAGAAAATGATGGACAGCAGACTTGACCTCACCAATCAACCAACTGCTCATCCTTGGAGAGTGGAAGAGTGAGCACAATGGAGTGCCACTCCTATACTGTCTCTCCTGGAGAATAAAAGTAGAAGTCTCTTCAAGGAAACCTCAGGACAATAAGTGATGGCTGCATTATTGTTACATAATTATTTCTTTTATTATTGCAGTTATTGTCACCGTGGTTATTGCTATATAGTGGTGGGCAAGAACTAGGTAGTTCTCTTTCCTAGGTTCTGCTCTGAATTGCTGTTTTCTCTGCATTCTGAAGCTCCTTGGGGAGACTGAGGTTCAAGTTATCCAAGGGTAATTCAGATAAAGGAGAGCTGTGTGCATAATTTCCATCCCAGGTTGTTCTTTGTCTTTCACAGAGTGCCTGTCAAAGCCTAAAGTCACCATGGGTCTGCAGAACAATAAGAATGGCACCTGCGTAACTAATCTGACATGTTCCATGGAACAGGGAGGAGAGAATGTGACATACAGCTGGAATGTCCTGGGGCAGAGAAGCAACAAATCTTATGATGGCTCTATCCTTCCCATATCCTGGAGTCTGGGAGAAAGGGACACGGTCTTCATCTGCACGGCCAGGAACCCCATCAGCAGTAATTCCTCAAGTCCCATCCTTGCCTGGAAGCTCTGTAGAGGTGATTGTCCCTTCTTTTTAGGAGCCTCTGGTCTGGGTAACTATACCTTCTTCAATTCCGTGTCCCCAAAGATCAGGCCCTGTGTAAAAACCGGTGGCCTGTGGAAAGTCATCAGGCTGGGAAGAAAGTGGCAGATGCTCTAAACTTTGGGTCATATTTCCTAGTTGACTTTCTCCCTTTTCAGGCCTCTACTCATTCTCTCTTTAAAGATGCTGATGGTGATGGTTCCAATTTCCTCCTCACCTTCCTGTGTCTTCTGTTGGTGATCTTCACACTCTGCACCCTTGTGTTGATGTTTCATTTGACTATGCGGATAAAGAGAAGAAAAGGTAGGGCACGTATGATTTTTGTCCTCATCCTCATTCATCCACTGAATCCCTCATTTATTTCTCGAGCATGTATCGAGTTGTGTATGAGGCCTGGTGCTAACACGATACTGAGCTGAAGAGGTCATCGTGTCTGCCTTCAAGAAGCACACGGTCAGCCAACACTCTTCATTCCAGATTAGAGAGAGAGAGAGAGAGAGCAAGAGCTGCAGTCCTTGCCTTCTCTCCTAGGACAAAGTCGCACTCCAGTGCCCACTCCTCTCCTTCCTTCAGAGAGAGTCACAAAGGTGGCCTTTCTCTTGGCACAAGCTCCATACTATTCACTCTGCTCCCTGACCTGGGAGGTGGTGGCCTCCAAATTTGATGCCTCCACGGACCAATACCCTCCAACCAGTCCTTCCTATCTTCATCCTTGTCAGAGTCCCCAAACCAGTTCCAGTCTTTTCCATTGGTTCAACTCCAAGATCTCTCTTTCCTCCCCACTTCAGTGTAGACACATTTCTCCTGGAGAAGCTGGGCTCTGTCTCTCTCCATGTGGCACCCCATTCTCTGTGTCCCCAAGCCCTGCTGATTTATCTTCTTGGGCTCCCACTGATACTGTCTGTGTCCAATATCAGGAAGGGACCCGAAAGACTTTGAGACCTCCCTTCCCTGTTAGAAGCACTCTGAAAGCCTTTCTGACCTTCTCTGCTTCCCACTTTGGCCACCTCGGCCCAGAGATCAGGAAGTGAAATTACAAGGGCAACTGATTCATCCAGATTTTTTTTTTTTAGGACTTTCCTAATTTTAACACTGAAAAATCCCTGTCCCAAAAAGCCTGAATTAGTAAGATGGCTGGTCCTCTTAAGTGGGCCATCCAGGTGGGATGGTGGGCCAATAGGGAGGAGGAGTGGTCAGAGAGGCAGACTTTAATTCACTCTCAACTTGGTTTCAGAGCCCATTGAGGGTGAAAAAAGAATGGATGTTCATCAGGAGATTCCTAATGTCTGCCCCCATTCCGGAGAGAAAACAGTGTATGAAACGATTTGCTATGCTCATGTGAGTACTTTCCCTTTCTTCCTGGGACCTGATTCACCTCTCTGAGACCCGCCTGGTTTTACTTAAGATTTTTTTTCATGGGTTTGGTTAACATGGGAAGGGGGAGGAGGAATTAGGATGGATAGTCCTTAAAACCCAAGGCAACTCCATCTCCCCCAAGTCTTTATGAATTTGCTTCTGGGTAGAAGTGAATTCACTCCTGGGGCACCTGATTCTCATCCATCGGTAACATTCATACTGTGAACGTTACATGAGTCACCCTTCCTCCCCACAGTTCACAGTGTCCTCTCCAGGGGCCTGGTTACTCTTGCATAAGGCAGTGTGTAGTGAAGTGTGACTTTGGTGTGATGTTTGAATCATGTTGTCAGAAGACGCATTGCTCAAGAAATGCTTCTTTCCTGTGGGCTGACTCCAGGAGGGTCACAGTTCATGAGAGTTACATATTTTATGTATTTTTGGAATTCATTTTAATTTCACAGGATGAATAATGCAATAAACAAACCTAAGAGCACAAAAACACGAATTAAATCAATGCTGTAACTTCCTAAAAACGTTATTCATAATCACTGTAATCACAGTCACCAGTTAGAGCACTTCCCCTGAGCCATCCATTTTCCAGAACCCTCTTTTCATCTTCTCCCACCTCCATTTCTCCCTCTTGTGACTCTGAGTCTCTCTCTGATCTTTTCTTTCTTTATTTCTTTTTTCATTTTTTGTGGTACTAGGGATTGAACCCAGAGGCCTTCTAGCACTCCTGGCCCTTTTATATTTTATTTTTATTTTATTTCTCTAATTTGATGAGGCTGGCCTTAGGCTTGAGAACCTCATGCCTCAGCCTCCCAAGTCACTAGGATTATGTGTGTGCCATCTCTGGTATTTTCTACATGACCCAGGTTAGGTGATGATTCCTTTTGTTTGTTGCTTGTTTTTATAGAAAATTAATCCAGCAGAAGATCCACTAAATACACTTTATTCCACTGTGCAGATACCAAAAATGGTAAGAAATTTAGAGCTGAGTTTCATCTAAATCGTCCTATCCCTTCTCCTGGTTCATGTTTAGGTTAAAAATCTTGGACCTCAGGAATCTCATATTCACTGGCATTAAAATGTACCTCTGGTAGTCCCCCCATCCCATTTGCTTAGGGGGTTACACAAGAATATGGGGAATTTAGAAAAGAATTCTGTTTTAGGAGTCCAGATGAGGGTAATCAGGAACAAATTGAATAGGGGAGAAATTCTAGATGGGAATGATAATCAGAAGGCTTTTGACTAAAGTCATGAGTGAGGAAAAAGGCCCTGGCTTCATCTGTGCCTGAGAGGAAAAGGATGATTGGGGGTGGGGGAGGGGCTCCAGCCTGCTCCTGAGCCATGGGGCAGACCATAGGAGAGAGATTTCCATTTTTCCTTTGGTCTAACTATGTTACGTCTGGTTTGCACCCCTCCCCTAGTTCAACGTGGTAAGACTTAAGGCTCATTCTTTCACAGATGATGTGTGGGAGAAGCACTTGTACCTTCCTAACTCCTTTCCCTTCCTCAAATAGAACTGATAGATGGGGATCTTGAAAGCAGTTTGCTTAGTGACATGTCAAATTCATTGGCCATGCTTCTATGAATTATTATAAGTTCAGTTCATTAAGTACTCAGCAAGATAAAGATGGGTTTATCCTAAAGAATAGTTTCTCTAAACTAGGAGGGATTTGGGAGCAAGCATGGTGGAGGTTCCGGTTGGGTACCATTGGACATAGTGAGTGTCTGGGATGCAGAGTCTTCTATGGTAGACCCAGATCCCTGCCCACCTCTAGTGTTCTGCTTCCTCATGTCGCCTACAGGTGGAGAATCCCTGCTCACCGACCACCACGCCAGACACACCCAGGCTGTTCACCTATGAGAATGTCATTTAGACATCAGCATGCTGCCCTCAAACCTCACTCCAGAGGAAGTACAAAGAAATGCATCCACTTGTCCAGAATACCTGGAAGAAACCATTCCTAAGCATACACCTTTGAGTTTAGGAGTTCATAATTCTACCAACTCCTGAGAACTCTCTTTAAACCCAGAATCTATATCACTTCCCATATGGAATGTGACTGTGAATTTATCAGTCAATCTCAAGAAAAGGCTGAATATCTCTACTAACATGTAAATGCATATTAATATCTGCCTCGGTCATATTAATGATGGCCCCAGGACAGGGTTTGGAGTCTCATTCCAGTCCAGGGTTAGGAGGACAGAATATACCAAGAGTCTGGTTTCCAGGAGGGCAAGAAGGCCAGGCCAGACAGGTGTGTCTGGCACCAGCAGGTGTAACTGCCAAAAATGAATGAATGAATCATTCACTATGTACGGGGCACTGTTGAACTTAATTGGGCAGATGTGCTCTCTGCTCTCATGAACCTGAGCACTCATGAACTACTTTTATGGCCAGTTATGGGAGGCTTAACACAAATTCTTGTGTATCAAGTTCTGAATACACAAAACTTGAAGGTCAAAGCTCACAAGGACACAGAATTGTGCATGGGCAAGAACAAGAACACCCCTCTACTCTCAGAACTCCTACCACCACCCCACCATGGCCTGGCTTAATTTGTACTCCTACACTGCAAATAAAAGCCTAGGCCTTGTTAAGGTCTATACAGGAGCCTATCTCGGTGCAAAAACTCTACAGGCACATTTTGGGTCTAGTATGACACCTAGAGTTGGGATGTGGGGCCTGGTGTATGAATTACTTGTAAACTTTCAAAGTGTGTTTCAATATTTATTAATAAGCTCTGCTAGGTCACTTTCACAAATAAGTCAGACATGATCTCTACCCCTATAGAACTCACCTTCTTTTTAGTGAAATGGTAAAGACTTGGGGAGGGTGAAAAGTAGGACTGCACTTGATGTGTTCCTGATACATGTTTTGAATGGAGATACCAGGAAGGGAACTGGGGCCCAGGGCTGGGGTATGAAATAAGGTGGACAAATTGTGTATTTAAATTTGTGAAAAGAGAAAACATCTGGGAGGGAAAACGTTTGAATATAAGATGGCCAAGTTAAGAGAAAATAAACTTGCAAGAAAAAAAACAAAGAGAATGAACTCAGGCTGATGTGAGAGGAAATCAAAGTTAAAAATAGGAGTAGGTGTGGAAACAAACCCATCACCACCATGAGGTACTCGGCTAGGCCCACCCAGAGCTGGGCAGGTGTGGATTGCCCAAACCATAGCATGATAAATGCTGTATTTATTGCTACAATTTTCTGGGAGAATGGTGGGGAGTGTCCCTTTTAATAAAATCATGCTTTGAGGAAAGGGTGTTTTTTCAAATTCTTACAACAGTGGGGGGCGGGCGGGGAGTGGGTGGATAGCAGCACTTGGAAAGAAGAACTATTTATGATAAGGCTAAGATGGAAGCCAAGACTTTAAACTTTTCCAATACCAACAGGGTACTTGTGTTACCCACACTGATGTTACCGCAGCTATGTTAATGTGCCACATCCTCAGGACCTGAAATGAGGTGAGACACTGAAGCGTAAAACTTAGGGGGGGCAGAGGGGAAGGGTGCATACCAAAATATTTTGCATTAAGATAAATGATATTTTACTACAATCATTTTGAAGATCAAAAACAGTTCAAAAATTAATGATCAAAATGTCAAAATGTTAAATAAAAGGCTGTGGCTGTAGCTCAGAGGCAGAGCGCTTGCCTAGCATGTGTAAGGCACCGAGTTCGATCCTCAGCACCACATGAAAATAAACAAATAAAATAAAGGCATGCTGTCCATCTACAACTACAAAAAAAAAAAATTTTAATCTTAAAAAAAGAAAGTACTATGTCACGTCAGTCTAAGACTAATAAAAATTGTTATTTGCTGTTTGCCAAGCTACATCATTGCTCCTCTTCATGCCAAAGCCAGATGTATCTTCAGGCAAGAATTGCAGGGAGCCACCCCTGAATGACTTGAAGGCCTTCCCTCAGTCTGGAACCAGGGAGATTTAGGTTTGGCATTATGAACTACTTTGTGGCTCCTGTCACTCAATGAATTGCCCAATGCACATGACCCCTATCTCCACTCTACTAGGGAGACCGCTCCAGTAGCTCCAGAGTTGGGCATAACCTGTTGTAAACTGGACAGCCACCTCCTCCCTTATTTGGCAAAGAACATTCCATGGAAATCTTTGATGTTCCCCCCATATAAATAAAACAAGCACGGGCTCCATCTTGCTTTTGCTGGTATCTTTTCAGCATGGAAGCTCAATCCCTAAGATTGGCTGGTCGGTCCTGCCACCACTTTTTAAAATCACTTTTTGTGTCCTGTGGGGTTTTTTTCACCATTTTTCTCTTTCTTAGCTTTTATCCTACAGGCAGCCCACTCCACCAAAAGGAACCTTCACTTCTACCACCCACGCAGGATGTGGCAGGACCCAATAGTCTAACTGACCAAAAAAGAAAAGTCACAAATTAATTTCCAGTGTTCCTAAACTGAGGTCATATAATCTCTCTGAATGAAGCCTCACCCAACCAGAGCTCAGGTGTTTGCCTGACTCTCCTGGGGGCGGGGGGCATGGTTCAGATCTTACCAGGATGCACCTACCCAAACCTCCCAATAATAGATAAGTGTCCTAGGACCTCCTCACTGTCCCCAATTTACCCCCACTCTAGCCCCACAGTCCTTTACTAAAGGCCAGATTCTTTCATATAAATGTGTTCCCTAGGTCTTCATAAGACTCCCATGAGGTGAGCTCATCTGAGGTACTTGTGTCCAACAACAGAAAGTGAAATGGAAACCAAGAGAAATAAAGAGACTTGTCTAAAGTTTTAGACTTCAGTGTAACACCAAGATTAGGAGAAAAAAAAAAAAAGAAGTGCCCACTCCACCACCATCTACTTCTGCAGAGGAGGTGGGAAGCCGGGGCTCAAAGTTTGAGGGAGATGGGTGCCTCTTATCAGTGCAGAATGGGGGAAAGGATAATAGCTTTGGAAGTAAGCCTGGATTCAGATTCCCCCACTAGCACAGTGACTCTGGCCAGTGACTTGGGTTCTGTGAGCCTCTGCTTTCTTTCACTGTGGGGATTATATGAAACAAGTGTAAGCACTTGGCACACTTGTTTCATACATGGAAATTCATACACGGAACATGATAATTAAGGGAATAGTTCATAAAAATGGTTACAACTTCCTAAAAGCAACTTAGGATAAGAAATGGAAGCACTAAAATAGAGAATCTGTCCTTGAAAGAAAGGTATCTGATTTATAGTGAAGAGGAGCAAAAGGAAGAGGGAAAGTGGGAATTCGCTTCCCTCAGAGTGTTGAAAGAATTTAAATACAGTGGTGGTTCATTGAGCAAAAATTGGATTGAGAATTATCTGTCTCAAAAAGCATAGTGAGAGGGCAATTGAGGCCTATTTCAGTGATTAGCATCCTTTATTGTCTTTTTTTAAAGGCATTATAACGAAACAAACAAATGCAAAATTATAGGGAAAAAGACATTATAAAATTCACTTACAAAAATATGCACTGTGTCACTATTTGCATTAATAAAATTCTGGAAACAAATTGGAGTCAGGCCACAGGCAAAGGTTAAGTGAACACAAACAGGTTATAAACCTAGAAAGTGTTGTGAAATAGCAAGTGAAAGTAGAGTGTAAAATTCAATGTGCTGTATGATGGCAAGTATGTCCAAAAGACACATATGCATAGAAAAACTTGGAAGGAAATACATCAAAATACCAATGCTGATTGAGAAGAATGAAAGTTTAGGTGGCTTGGATTTTTTTTTAATTTTTATGTTCGTTTTCCAAATGCTTTTTAATGGGAAGGTGTGTATTACATAATAGAGCAGAAGAAGTTTTAAACAGAGAAGAAAGAGGTGTGTCACTAAGAGTGGCTGAGGGGAAAGTCTGAACCTTTATGTTGTAGGTGTGGGTAGGAGGATGGAAAGTGTCCCCTGAGTGAGACTAGGTGGGCAGAAGGGAGGAAGCCCCTCCAATGATGATCGGAGGAAAGAATTAGTCTGCCTCAGAGAGGGTAGCTGAGACTGTGGAGGTTATGAGGTGGGAGAGGGGAAGAGAATTGCTAGGCTTTAGAATGTATCCTTCCTGCATGTCTCTTCTCTTGATAGCCTACTCAGATGGTAAATAATTAAAATTGATCATCCTAGTTATCACCCTACCCCCCTTTTAAGCCAGTGGCTAAATGGGGATCCAGGGAGACCAATAGATTTGGAATCTGGACACTCAGTAAGATCTTTTCCCAATGCTGTCTGCAGATAAAGGCTCCCCGTCCTGAGCTCAACCAAGCAAACAAAGGAAACCACTAGCTTGTGAGGGTTAGAAGTCAATCATATCCTGAGCACACCACATGCAGACCTAGAGCAGTGTGGTTGGGAACTTGTGAAATGTGAGCAATGGATTCTCAAACACAGAAACTTGATGAAGGGAAAGGAGAGAAAAGCTATCTCTCACCTGTGACCCTCACAGATGAGACAGACTGGGTTTAAATGGACTGGCTGCAACATTAAACTAAGAAGAAGGCAGCGAAAAATCACACAACACAGACATAAGTTTTCAAATCAAGGGCAGGCAGCTATTAGACCTTAAGGGTCAGCTTCCACACTGGAAAAGAAAATGTCTTGCAGGGCAATAGTCTCAGGAGTGGCATTTCTGTTTCCTTAGACAATGCAGTCTGAATCCCCTCAGACAGAAGTGGAAAGTCTGAGAACACTATGTGTGGAGAGACCTATACAACTGTGGTTGGGAGGCTGCTGTCACTGGGGAATAGAGATTCTGCTACTGAGGTTTAGGAAATTCCAATTCTTATACTTCTCTTACACTCCAAGGCCAAGTTGAGGCTATTCAAATAGCTCAGGCATGGCCCCCACATATCCCCCTTTTTACTTTGCAAATAATGAGCTGTTATTTTAAAATCCTAGATTCTTGTTCAAGTATTTGATCAGCTAGAGAGGTAGGATCCAAAAAAAAAAAATGATTTTTGCTTTTTTGGATATCCTGGATGTAGTGATGTAACTCCAAAAGATCCAGGCTAAGGCAGATGTCATACCACAGATGCCACTGCCATGCCCGGAGGCCTCTTCTCTGGGTACAGCCTCAGTTACCTTGATGCCAATTCCCTCATGACCTCCATGCTGCTGCTGCTGCTGAACCAGAAGTCCCCTGTCAATCAACCGCCACCTGCACCACTACTGCCATTGCTGCTGCCTCTGATTCTGCTGCTGCCAGCCTGAGATCACCTGGTGGTCTTCTTTCTGATGCTGCTGCCACAGAAGAAACTGCTGCCCCAGATGCAGCTGAAGCTGACACTGCTGCTGATCCCCGAAGATCAACTGGTGACACTGTCCCCACAGCTGCAGTTGCAGCTACTGCTGCAGCCACCACTATTGCTGACACACTGCCTCCTGCCAACAACCACCACCACTACTGCTGCTACCATGGCCTAGAGGACTGCTTTGGGGGGAGACTCCAGGTTTGGTCACATGTAGCTGCACCCATTTTGGGACACCAGCCAAGGCCTGGGGCCTGGGTGTCAGCAGGTTTATTACCACAAGAGCCTCTGTCTGGGGACTCCATCTGGGACCTGCAGGTCCAGTGTGGAGGTACATAAGGGTTTGGAGGAGCCTGGAGTCCTCCTGCTGAGAGTTATGGTGGCCCTTGTCTTGCTGCTGCATCTCAGGGTTGCTCCTTTGCAGGGGAGTTAACTCAGTCATGTGCAAAGTTGGTCTCCCACAATCTTGTCTCTTTGCAAGTAGGAACAGCATTGAGATCTTGGAACATAGCCGATCCTGAGATATGTGAAGCCCAGATTGGTGGGATAGTGATTAGGTCTACGAGGGCTGATCTGGGCCTGGTGATCCCGAGAGATGTCAGAGATAGGGCTGAGAAAATGTTGAACACTGATAGAGACAGTTTGACTTTCCAGCAAGATTTATTTTATTTTATTTTATTTTTCAATTTGCTAATATCTCTACCATATTTGGAACAGGATGTTTTTATGCATCAGTGTTTGGCAGACAATGATATATGAATAGTGTTTTGCTTTTTTTGTATTCTTATATCTTTAATTTTTTGTCTTTGTTTGTATTCTTTCTCTCTCTTTTCTATTTTCTTGGATTTTGTTTCCAACTTTTCTCCAACCAACAGCCAATCTCTGTCAGCTCCTCTTCCACTCTTCCTCCCTCAAGAATATCACATACTACACTACCTCAGTTATCTCATCCACCATTTGAAATAGTAAATCCTTTTAACAAATATTCCCTTTGTGCCATAGATAGTTATTGAACTCATCATTTTGGTTTA